AGAAAGAAAGATGGAAACCACTAAGACAAATTCCTCACCTCCAAAATGAGGTGATAAGACAAAGAAATATAATTTGGGAAATCTTGGCTGCAACCGAAACAGAATATGCACTCCACGTGAGAATGCCCTGCTCGAGTTCTCCTCAGGTTCCCACCTACAAGTTTCTGGGGGTTAGGGCATCTATTCTACGACACTAAGTATCAAGCACACCCACGCCCATCAAATAAATAAGTATAGAAATTAGGATCCAGCTAAATCCTAACTACAGTGGCTGCAAATACACAAGCTTTGTGGACAATAGGTATGCTAATTTAAAAGGCACTGGGTTAATCTAGAAAGCTGTTTTTATAGATACATATTAAATTATAAGAAAGTTCTCTTTATATACAAAACCTAACTACCTTCTGTCTATATTAGGTGAATAAAAATAAAATGACCATTTCTCAATTTATGCCATTTTTATTTACAAAAGTAGAAATATTGGCTTTTTGGGTTATAAAAACACCCAAATTTTCTTTGTATGTTAAAAACTACTTAAACTACTTTTAATAAGTTTGCTCCATGATTTAATAACCTCAATGGTATTTAAGTTCCAAAAATATTAAGTTTTTTTTAAGATTACAAGTCCAAATAATCATTTTTCTCAAAAGGGGAAAAAAAAAAAAAGGCTTAACTTTCCAAATGATTACTTACGTGCCCATTTGCGATGTCTAATAAATCTTTAACTCTACACCCTCTCATGGTTCCCACCTCATTGCAGATAGAATCCTCTACAATTAGGTAATTAGCTTTGTACGATGTCAGTATTTTATAAATATCCTCTGCAGATCGCTTTGAGTAGATTTGATAGATCTGAAAGGACAAAATAAAAACGGATTTTAACAGGATTTCACAACCTCTATTAATCAAAATTAGGTCAGCAGTTCAAAAGTACCAGCTGCTTCACAGGAGAAGGATGAGGTTTTCTGGTCCTGTAACAGCAGTCTCGTAAGCCCACAAGGACAGTTTTGCCTGTCCTACATCTAGGCCACTGAGCTGGAATTGACATGATGACAGTGAGGTTTTGCTTTTTCAATAAAAAATATATATTGATAGTGGGACAGGAGGAGAATCAATGGAAATAGAGGAAAGAGCTGGGAGGCAAAGGGTATTTATAGAGCTCTAGATAAAGACATGTACAT